CCGAGCCACGAAGTGGCGAGGTAAATATTCCTAAAGCCACTATTCACCGAGATTGAAAAGAATAATTGTTTTAGTATATACACACGAAGTGATCTCAACAAAATCAGAGAGGAAACCATTAAAAAGTACGATTTGATTGACAGATTAGGTCAGCTAGACACGCGACAATTGAAAAATAGATCTTTGTAGAATTTTCAAGCATAGCAATTCACAAGCTTATCACTTCGCAAACAACAGCGTAATGACTTCAATGGAACCGCTAAAAGTTTGATTGTTTCCTTACCTGAGAGGAAAAGAAAAGCATCATTTGTTGTTTTCTGTTGACTCGCCAAGTTTATGGACGAAAAGGTTTGTTGTGTCGTTCTTCGCATGAAGTGCTGACAAAAATGGCGATTCGGTTCCTCGAGGTAAGACGACGTCTTCACGTAGCATTCTTTCTCGTGTTTACTTGAAACGTAGTTATTTATCCGCTGGACAGTGCTTTCCACCGTTTGAACAACCGGGGCCTGTACTTTAGGTTCAAATATTTATGGCAATAAGCAGGACCGATAGCGAGCAGAACAGAACGACGAGGAGCCACACGCCTTTTCGTGACCGACCCAGTATTGTGCACGCGACTTGTTTCCTCAATTTGTTCCATACAGTTTAATCGCGTTTTAGAAGGTCTTCGCGTATAATCAAGTCCCACATATTCCGCGTATTATTGTGTTGCTGTGGTTTATCTCCAGAAGATATGTTTAAAAGTCATGCAACTGAATAACATATGCGATAGAGTGCAGCTATCAAGCATAGCACACCAGCCCAGGTGCCTTAGTTTCTTTGTTCGGACAGAACTAAGCGCATGCCCTGAAACAGGCACTGTGGATAATACTTCCGTTTACACCGTAAAAATATAATTGAAGGTTACAACAAGAATAGATTACCTTCGGCTGTCATTCAGGACTTTTGATTAAAAATCTTTCATTGCATCAAGTCAACTATAGGAGCGTAAAAGTCATGGAGAAATAACCAAATTATGCACTGAAGCACAAGTACCAACTCATGGCCAGTACCTTACGCATGCGCACAGCCATATCACCCCCGGCAGTGGCAGCCATGGACAGCTGTTTCGCCCTTATTGGGGCTCTTTAGCATGACATAGCCGTCGGGTCAATGAGTTGGTACGTGTGCTTCAGTGCAAAATTTGGTTGATGGAGAAATAAGCTTGTTTGAGTTGAGAAGTCTCTAAAAACTACCGGGTGTATTATGACTTGTTATCGTTGTTGTTGCTTTCGTTTTCGTTTACGTTTTCTTTTTTTTTTTTTGGATTACCCTGCAATCACTCTTCCCTCCCCACTCACCCCACCCTCCCCAGCCCTTTCCTTGTTTGCAATGTTGCTGTGGTGGTTGTTGCCGTTTTTTTCTTTTTTTGGTCGCAGCTTAAGTAGGAAGATACAGCAGGGGAAGAAAACAGCCGTCCTCGACCTCTTCCGTATAGTGATGTAAAGAATTGTTGAATCTTGATATCTAGGTTAACGAGTTCCCATCCACATCATAATTTACCTGAAACTAACATTTCATTTACAACATTTTACTTTTAGCTCTATAAAAACCCAAT